TGGGCCAGCCATGAGGTGGACTTAGGTAAAACCTCATTTATTGCTTGTCTCTCAGTACCCTCTCACACCAAAGTAGTGTTCTGGGTCTTCAGATTTTTCTATTTTTCTACAGCCAGTATCTGATATCCTCAGAAGGACACTGGGTATTTACTTTCCCCCAGGACACAGATACGCTGGTAAATGGCAGCAGGACTCTTTGGGGGACTTCTGGGAAAAAGATTAAAGGTATATCTGCCATGTAATTTCAGGGTTCTTACTCAGGGGTACTCACCTTTCTCTTCCTGCATGGAGAACTGAATCTGAATGAACTCAGGTATGGGGATTGAATGAAGAGCTAAGTATCAGTAGGGCATTTTAAGCTTCAATAACAGAACATCTTGTCTCAACTGGCTTGAACATTAAAGAAAATGTATATTGCATAAAGAAATACAAGCAGACTGGGAAGCACAAGGGCTGGTTAATTCAATAGCTCAGAGGTATCACTGAGGACCTGGACTCTTTGTATGTCTTTGGTCTGTCTTTCCCAGTGCCTTGGTTTGCTTCCCACTGTGGTTGCAAGTGGGCTTCCACCCTGGCTGCGGGAACCACATGCAGTTAGATTATGTCCAACGTATGAGAGACTTTTCCTATCTTAGAGACTGTGTGTTGGAGGAGAAATTCTCTCCTGGAAGTCTCAACTGGACTCCCATTAGAAAAGAGGAAGGGGTATTGGTGAGTAGTTACTGGATGGTAAGTGAACAAGGCCTGCTATCAACTACAACTCTCAGTCATGATGACACAAGTCAGGACTCTATTCATCAGGCCTGTTAAATCAAGATAAAGCCTTTATTGATATGTCCATCTCTTTTTCTCTTGGAACTCCATGAGCTGCCATGCCAAAGATCTATATGGGCTTATATTAGTCAGTGTTCTCTGGAGAGACAGAACCAACAAGATATACCTATAGATATATGAGAAGGGATTTATTGGAGAAATTGACTCATATGATTATGGAGGCTGAGAAGTTCTATGACAGCCCATCTGCAAATTGAAGATGCTGGGATTCTGGTAACATTGCTCAGTCCAAGTCTGAAGGCCTTAGAACCAGGGAAGTCAATGGTGTAACTCTCAGTAACTCTCACCATTCTCAGAATGAAACCAAAGGCTTGAGAACCCAGGAGGCCCCTGATGTAAGTCCTGGAGTCCAAAGGTCAGAGAGCCTGGAGTTCTTGTCCAAGGCCAGGAGCAGAAGCGTGTGTCCTGGTTTCAGTAGATAGGCTGACACGTTCACCTTTTCCACCCCATGTTTTTGTTCTGTGTCCCCAGCAGATTGGATGGTGCCTGCACAAATTGAGTGCAGATCTTCCCCACCTAGTCCACTTAAACTCACATGCTAACTTCCTCTGGAAATACCCTTACAGATAAACCCCAAAATAATGTCTTACCAGATTTCTAGGTATTCCTTAGTCAAGTTGATGCCTAAAATTAACCATCACAGAGTCAACCCATTCTGATTATCAGTCTGGCCAGCTGCCTCTTATGGTAGCCAAGCTCTGGTAATTATTGCTCTTCCCAGGCCTGTGCTACTTTGTGATATTCCCAATCCAATTGAAATTGTCCATCTCATTTCCAACTACATCTTCTTTCTACCAGCATCCTTGGCTTATAGAGAATAGCCACGCTTTTAATAAAGATGTTGGCACTCCTGTCACTAATGAATTTACCATTGCCTTAATGAAGATAGTGTGTTTTGGGTCCTCTTGGGAGACATAGGAGATAGGTAAGCACTTGTAATAAATCCACACCAACATTGCCATCTCCCTAGGTCTTTGAATTTACTTCCTCTAAACTATAGCTTGTGATTTCTGGCATCGCAGCTACACTGGAGCACTAATGTACTGTACTATGGAGCACTAATAAGTCCAGGTTTCTGTTAACTAACTAGCAAACAATTAAAACAACTAGATGCTCAAGCCAGTGCATGAAATGGAGAATTACCGCACAGTCAGCCTATCAAAAAACTCCACTTGATCTAAAATTATGTTTTTCCCTTGTTGGCCTAGTACCCGCAGAATCTGCTCCCTCACATATTTCTCAGGCCTCTACTAATACAATGATCAGAGTCGTAAACTTTTGTCTGTAAGCTTTTCCCTTAAGATATCGTATATAGATGTGCTTCATCCTCTACCCCACCCTGTCCCAGGAACATGTTGAGATCTAACCCGAGTTATAGGAGACAATGAGGGGTAGAGCAGGTGGAACATGACGAGAATGAACTTCCCTTGCAAGGTAATAACCCTCAGGTTAGATCATTCCAAGATTTTTAAGCAAGATGGGAATACATGCATAAGAAGGGAAGGAGGAGTTGATTTGGCTAATAAGAGAGACAGGAATCATAAAGTTTAGAAATTCAATGCTCAGCATCATCTGAATCCTCCCATAAATCTCTGTTCCAATTCTTAGGTCTATCTCTTTTCTATTCTATGCTCTAATTTTCACCTAAGCAGAAGTTTGGAAGGCTGCATATTAAACTAATCTTCTAGGCTGGATGTGGTTGCTCATGCCTGTAATTCCAGCACTTTGGGAGGCTGAGGTGGGAAGATCATTGGTGGTCAGGAGCTTGAGACCAGTTTGGACAGCATGGTGAAACCACATCTCTACTAAAATTAAAAAATTAGCTCGATGTGGTGTGTGCCTGTAATCTCAGCTACTCAGGAGACTGAGGCAGGAGAACTGCTTAAACCTGGGAGGCAGAGGTTGCAGTGAGCCAAGATTGCACCACTGCACTCCAGCCTAGGCAACAGAGCTGGACTCATCTCAAAACACAAAAACAGAAACCAAACTAATCTTCTAATTTAGCAACATGCAGGATCAAACTTTGGGCTTGATTTTTGTCTATTTCAGGATGGTGGCTATAAGATAAAAGAGATTCTTCAAGTACGGGTAGAACATCTTTGGTTTTCATTTTGTCTTCACTTGAGAACTTAAGAATTTGTGTTTTTTTATTCTTTAAAAAATCCAGCTAGCACTATTGGAAGCAGTTTATCCTATAGTCTTTGATTTTTTTTCATGCTTTTAATATTGTTTGATAGTGGCAACTGTTTCATCCCCTAAACCTTGGCTTCAATAGGTATTTCATTCCAGGTGACTACAGGTAAAAACCTAATGGTTTGCCACAATTTACCATGTTTTGGCAGAGTCACATAGTTTACTCCAAGCTAATTTTTTTCTGTGTGTAGCCCTCAGCATGCAAAACAAACAATCTCAGATTCCTGTTAATTTCTGGAGGGCCTGTTTCTACCCAACTCTTAGTAATATTTTGGCATTAGCCAAGGTTTTTATTTGCAAGCAACATAAATAGACCATGGAGAAAAATAAAAGATTGATTAAAAGGATATTGGGTAGCTCACTGAACCAGGATTTTTATAGCTAGGAACAGCCTCCAACACCATGACCCTTGAGGTAGAATCTTCCTCTATTCCCTTTTCATTGAGTTACCATCTCCCAATCACAACACAGGACAGGAGTGTCTGGTTGGCAAGAGGTTAGGTCCAGTGTCTTTGCCCTGGAGAAAAAAAATAGCATGGAAAAAGAATACTTGGCATTTCTGGCTTCCATAGTGGGAGACAGGCTCCTCATCAAGGCTCCTAAGGTGGGAAATTGTCCAAAGGAAGGAGTTGAGTTGCTAAACAGCCAAAGCAAATGGTAGATGCCCATTAGCTTTTGAGCAAGTTATTGCCTTCTCTTTTCCTCAGTTTCCTCCTCTGTAGAAAGAAGGGTTTGAACTATATGGTCACTGAAGTTGCTCCCAGGTCTGTCCTGAGGCTCTGCCACTCCCCTTTGGCTTCTGTGGGGTAGACAATTCTAGTTCACATTGTTCCAACTAAGAGGCAATGTGCTCTTGGACTGCTTCTAGTCACAGAGCACCAGGGGGTGGGGGACAGCGAGGGTGCCTGAAGTGCCAGCCTGAGGGGGTGAAGGCTACTCTTCCTGGCTCCTGGCAGCTCTTGAGTTGAGCTCTTGTGCAGCTGTTTTTGCAGCAATTTCACACTGATGCAGAAAATAGAAGCAGTGTCAGGCCAGCACCATGAATGATCCAGAGAACAAAGTAATTTTTCAAGACAATGCCCTGTTTAAACACTGGGTGTTGAGGTGACAGATTTTGTAGACACTTTATGGGGAAAAAAATCCACCACCTTGAGTGATTTTGAAGCCTTTAGAAATATTTGGCAAGTGTGAACAGTTGGTTCCCCACACTTTCTCTTTAATCAATCGCTTCTTTAAGAAGTGGCTGTGCTGAAGGGAGAGAGCTGTATCGTTCCTCCCCCACCTCTGGCTCCCTTTCCAGCGCATTGGGTTTTCAATATGAAGAGGCAAAATTTTCTCCACAATCCCCAAAATGGTGCCTGCATATTAAAAATACACCAGCTTTCTTTGCTGTTTGCCTGCGGATTTGTTTCATTTCATACCTCACTGAAGCCTCCTCTCTGTTCAGAACACGCTGTACCCAGTTGTAAGAAGAGAAGAGGGGAGGGGAGGGACTTGAGAAAGCATCATTTGTTTTCTTAGCAAACTCTGAGAAATGTTAAAATTGAAGTTTGAACTTTGAATGAACAGAAACCTGAGGACTTTAGGAGGAGTTTTCATTCACTGGTTTGCCTGGAGCTTTGATCTTGGCCTTTCCTTCACCTGAAGGTGGCATCTACAAGTCCACTCAAGAGGTGGACATTGGGATTCAGGGTCTGAATTACTATTACCTTTCAGCCCTTGTCCAGCCAAGATCCAGAAACAGATCCATGTTTCCTAAATGGGTGAAGCAAACATTTGTGTGATTGAACATGAGCTGCCTCATGAGTAGCCAAGCCATTTCTTCTGCATCTACTTACCACCTGCAGTAGGTTAAATGCGTTCCTCCAAAATTCGTATGCACTCAGAACCCCTGACTGTGACCTTTTTTGGAAATAGGGTCCTTGCAGATGTAATTAGTTTAGGATCTTAAGATGAAATCATTCTGAATTTAGGGCGGAACCAATCAGAAAAGGCATCTTTCTAAGAAGCGGAGAGGACACAGAGAGGCACGCAGAGAAGGTGATGAGAAGACGGAGGCGGAGATTGGAGTGATGATACATCTACGAGCCAGGGAACATCAAGGACTGCCAGCAACCACCAGAAGCCAGGAGAGAGGCATGAGGCAGTTCTTCCTCCGATCCTTCAGAGGAAATCAACTCTACTGACACCATGATTTTGGATTCTAGCCTCCTAAGAAGTGAGAGAATAAATTTCTGTTGTTTTAAGTCATACAGCTTGACATAATTTGTCACAGCCGCCCCAGGAAACCAACATATCATTTTGAATGCCCCTTGGCTCCCCAGCTCTCAGCCCATAATATCCTGTAAAACTTTCTTTTCTCTCAAGTTTCAGCTCAAATGTTACCTCCATGGTGAAGTTCTTTAAAACTTCATTAAAAATTAATCATTTCTTTATTCCTTGTTCTAGAAGCCTTTGGCACTGACTTTGTGCTTGCATTTAGTTAGTGATTTACCATGGTGCTCCTCCTTCCTTGATCATGGCTTTCTGAGAGAAAGGACAGATCTTGTCATCTCTGTCTTTCCAATGCTCAGTAAAGCACCTGGCATATAGCAGACACTAGTAAACGTGTGTATAGAATGGATGGAATGAAACCATGGCATCCTCCAAAGGTGACACATCATGTGCCGTTGAACTTCTGAATAGGGGCAGCTTGCTCCTGGTGATCATTTCTTTTCTTCTGATGTCATCTCTGTCCTTTGTGCTTAGCTGCTGACTGTTAACACATCTCTGCTTAAGTGTTAATTGATAATCTTGGTGTTGGCTGGTCCCAGCTAAAGGTAAGGCTCTTTCCAGGATCATCCATACTCACAACATAGAAAAGCTTTGCACATCAGGGGCATCTAGTTGGGGCATGGGAAGGTGACTTACTGGTTCTACTGGGGAGATGGAAGATGTGAAGGAGCACAGGCTTGCTGCGCTGCTTCTGAAACACTGTAGATCTCTTCCTGGAAGATGTGGTCCAGGTGGCTCTCTCTCCCTCTGCATTGTGTTCATTGCTGGTCCCCTGCCCCATTTCAGCCCACTCCCTCCCATCCTCCCCCTGTTCCAACCACCAAATGGTCTAGATTGCTTGCGTACAAGAAATACTGCCTTTTGTCCTCATTGGGCTAACTTTTTGTTGTTACTGCAAGGCAAAACCTCAGGCATTTGACATAATTAAACCATTTTATTTTAAAAAAATGTTTAAATGAAAGAAAGGAAAAGAAAAGTCGTATTCAGACAAACTTCTGGGCATACAGAGAGGTGAGGTGGTCAGAGTTGCTGGGTGTTCCATGGACTGCACGGACTCTCTGTGTCCAGGGGATATTGTGTACCTTCCCATGCAGCATAGACCCAAGGGCTTGGGTGGGGCCCACGAGGAACTCTGCCGGTGTGGTTGGGCAGATGTGATGCTGAGAACTGCCTCCTGAGCAAGCCAACATGTGTGATGGGGCCTGGGAGAAGGTGGCTAGGAAGAGCCAGTGTCCCTCCCTGCTAACAGCCACCACTACCTCTGTGTCCTCACAGACTTCTGTAGGCTCTTGGGACCCTTTCCTCCCTCTGCCTATGCTGGCATATTGGAGGTTACTCTCACAGTGCTCAGCTGCTTGGTAAAGCAGCTGAGAATAGCAGGGATCTGTGGGGACCGTAGCAGATTCCAGTTTGGAGGCCACATACTCTGAGGCTGAGGATAATTTATGAGGTAGGCTTGGATTCTCTTACTTCAGCTCCCTCCAGAATTCTCTTGAAGGTTCTGATCATTTTGTTTTCTTTCTAAATTACCATGTTGTCATTTACCCTTAGCAAATGGTCCTGGGACTTAAAGGGATCTGCTTTGGTGGAGTCATTAATCACAGAGGCTGGAAGAGGCTTGGGAAGCACCCTCTTCTCTCCTTCCCTGCTCCACTTAGATTGCAGGATTCTCTGTCCTTTATCAGGATTCTCTACCTATTGGGTATTAGGTTCTAAAGTGTCCTGCTCCATGACTTGGACTTCACTCTGAGAGTGGGCCAGGCCCCGTATGGGGAAGGCTTTTAGAAGAGAGAGTGAGGGAGAAAGTGTCTTAGTTTGTTCCTGCTGCTTTAACAAAATAGCACAAATTGGATAATTTATAAATAATGGAAATTTATTTCTCTCTTCTTAAAATCTGGGATGCATTTGGTGAAAAAAAAATAAAAGAGAAGAGAAGAGAAAAGAAGAAAAGAAAATAAGAAATTTATTTTTCGCAGTTCTAGAGGCTGCAGAGTCTACGATCAAGGTGTCAGCAGATTCAGTGTCTGGTGAGGGCTGTGCCTTCTTGCCTCTCACATGGCAAAAGGGGCAAAAAGGGAGTAGGTTGCTCCCTTCAACCTCTTCTATAAGGGCATCAATCATCTAATTTCTGAGGACTCCCCCCTCATGACTTAATCACCTTTTAAACACCCCACCTGTTAATACTACCTATTGGGTATTAGTTTCTAAAATATGGATCTTGGAGGGACACATACATTCAAACCATAGTGGAAAGATTGGTTCATTCACCTCATCCATGTATGTTGAATACCTACTTTGTGGCAGGCTCTGTCTTAGGCATTGGGGATATGGCCATGAACAAAATACACACAAAAAGGACCCTCAAGGAGCTTACATTCTAGTTGTCGGATGAATTAAGCAGTACATGTATTGTTTTTCTTTTCCAGAAGGCAGAACAAGGCAGGAGATTCAAAGTCTTCATTGCTGACCGGAGGTGGAGCGTACATCAGAGGGCAACAAGCCAAGTGTCTATCTTACCGTCAAATTCCCCTGTACCTCTGCAGGACTGTCTGAGGCTTGGCGGGATGATGCCAAACAGACATCATTTAACCAGCAAGATTGCCCTCCCTATACTCAAAGCCTGCTGGGGGAGGATGAGACTGGATGGCAGTATGGCCAATTACTCCAGTTTCCGCAAGCACGTCACAGGGTAAGCATCCTCTGCCGAGTCAGTTCTGGGATTGAATTGTCAAATGCCCATCAATGATAGACTGGATAAAGAAAATGTGGCACATATACACCATGGGATGCTATGCAGCCATAAAAAAGGATGAGTTCATGTCCTCTGCAGGGACATGGATGAAGCTGGAAATCATCACTCTCAGCAAACTGACACAAGAACAGAAACCAAACACGGCATGTTCTCACTCATAAGTGGGTGTTGAACAATGAGAATACATGGACACAGGGAGAAGAACATCACATACTGGGGTCTGTTTGCGCAGGGGAGCTGGGGAGGGATTAGCAGGGAGTGGGGGGATTGGGGAGGATAACATTAGGAGAAATACCTAATATAGATGACGGGGGGGTGGATGTAGCAAACCACCATGGCGTGTATATACCTGTGTAACAATCCTGCACGATCTGCACATGTACCCCAGAACTTAAAATATAATTAAAAAAAAGGGGGGGGGAAGGGATAAGCTCTGCTGAGTTTGCGTTATCCCTCAGGAAGAGTCAACAAGCAGTATCACACCCATTCTCTAGAGGGCTTTCAAAACGGGGAAAAGAAAGGAGATCAGGAAGGTGGAAGAGGGGAGGGGAACCCATATGTCCTGGGGCATGAGTCCAGTGAAGCCATAGACGGTGTTGGGGACTCAAACCTATTAAAAAGGAGAACATTTCTGAGTGACCTTGGCTTTCCTCTGTCTGCCTTTTCAGGAAAATGGATATGTCCAGTGCCTTATATTCCAGCACCAGCCAGGCTCAGGTTTTGTCAGGGGTGCAGCGGAGTGTCTCTGGCAGAGTGAGCAGCAGTAGAGCTGTCAGGCCTCAGGGCCGGGGGGACTTCCCTAGAGCATCAACAGGAGGAAGAGACCAGCGGGAGGCCAGCCTCCAGGCTGAAGGGTCATTGGTCTCCAGGGAGAAAGCTCTTGTGGCCTGGGCCCCAGGGACCTTCGCTTGGCTGTCTGACAGCTCCAGCATCTGCTGGGGCCGCTGCACAGCCAGCGTTAGCTCTGGGCGGGAGTCTGACTCATAACAAGCTCCTAGGTCTCCTCATCTCCAAAAATAAGGCCTGAATTTGGTCTGTCACAGCATTTAGAATAATTAAAAACAAAAAAACAAAAAAAACCAAGAGAACTACCTTTTACAAAAATTTACAAGACACTCTGGTTTAAAAACCAGTCCAAAGAAGCTGTATTGGTTGAAGCAGGGCAGGAGCTGGAGTCCTGTCTGCTCAGCCTCTGTCCTCCCCTTACCACGGCCCTTGAAGGGCTTTTGGAGGCTCAGGCCCCCCAGAGCTAAGTTTGAGAACTACTGGGCAGATATGGTGTAAGGCCCCTCCAACTGACGTTCTTGGCTGTGTGCTGTTGGTCTTCCCAGGCACAGAGAGGCAAGTGAAGGCCCAGTGGAGCCAAGGATGTGAATTGCTGGCACGTGTTGACGAGGTCTAGTTATAAAGTGGTCTTCTTCATAGCTTCAGATTTTTTTAGTTGTTGCTTTTTTCTGTTGCTTTTGAGCTCTATTGTCTGTTTTTTTACATGAGAAGCTCTTGTTCATTGTCTTGTAATGTTGGAAAAGCATTTGGAATGCCAGAGTTTGGCCTCCCCATTTCGGTAGAGTGAACCTGCCACAGGGGCACCCAGGACCCCCCGGGTTCACCCGCTGCAGACAGTAAGCTTGCAGTCTCCTGCCAGCATGGGGATGGGCGCTGCCCGGTGCTGGAATGGAAGAGGGTTTGAGAGCTGCTGTGGCTGAAACAGCTTTCCACTTGTTCTCCTTATTCTGACAACTTCTCTTCAGCACTGCTTCCAGAAATATTTTGTGCTACCAATGCCAGGGCATTTTGAGGCTTCTGTGATATACCTCAGCTTGATTTTCAGCTCTCCTCACTACCAGCAGTGACTTAGATTTCTCAGATCTGTCAAGTTCATTACCCTTTGTCCGTCCACTTTGCAGCTTCCAAAATTTTACTGCTATTTTCTCCTTTCCCATTTTGCCCTGTCCTTGTGGGTTTACACCTTTGTAAACAATCCCTCTGCTGTAATTTTAATGAGGTTAAGGGAGGGAGTGAATTAGATGTGTGTCTTCAATTCACCAGACAGGAAGTCTGGCCATTGCATTTTATCACTTAAAAAAAGATCTTTCCTAGTTTTCCTAGTTTCCTACTAAACAAGTCCCAGATACCCGGGACAGGGCCTTATGTGTTATTAGGGAAGCTGCTATTCACCTGTGTGATAGCCCATTGGTCACTGTCTAGGCCCAGCATCCTCTCCCAGTCCTGATGATGCTCTGTCAATCATGCTCCCTCCACCTGTCATGCTTCATCACCTTACCTATTCCTGTACATCATTCTTTCCACTTAGATGCCCTTGGACCCTTGTCAAGACACTTTCAATCCATCAGGGGGAAAAATCAATGATTTTTATTATTTTTTTTTTAACTGAGCATCTAGGTAGGTCTGTGAATATGGGAATCAGATTTTCTGAGTCCCAAATTGGGATTTTGTTTCTGGTCTTATGTCTCAAAAGATTGTTTTGTTGATGTAGTTTAAACACTAACTTTTTTTTTTTTTAATTTAGGGAGTACCAGGACATAATATTTGAAGTAGAGTCTGCCCAGAAAACCTGAGATGTTATCATTGTGTCTGAGGGGAAAAGCAAGAAAAATCTCTTTTCTCAAGGAGCATATAATCTAGCTGGGATTGGCAGTTGGAAACACTAAAAAAGACAGTATCAGGCATGTTGGCAAGTGCCAATTAAGTAATATAGAGCGTCCCTGGAGCTTGGAGGAAAGGAGGTCCTGGAAGTGCTAGGCTGGACAGAAAGAGGTTTGCTGGAGACAGGCTTTAAAGATGGGCCTTGTAAACTGCTCACAGATGTCTGAGACTGGTTCTGGTGGTGAAGAAGTTAGGAGAGTATGCTGCCCTTGTTGCCAACTCTTTCCCTGTTTCTTGTAACCTGTGGTCTATTACCCACAGCCATCAGTCACCTCCACCATCTGACTATCTGGGCTTCCTGGTAATTCCTCCTCAACTTTAGAATCATTTAGGATTAAGTTGTGCTTTAAGTAACAGACACGCCAAATAACTGTGGCTTGAACAAGAAAGTTTATCTCTTTCTCAGGAAAAGTCCAGAGGGATCCGATTTGGAACTGGAAGGAAAGTTCTGTTCTGTGAAGTCCTCCTAGTTGGAAGATCTCTTTCCAGCTCCCTTTAAGTTCTCATCCAAATAGACCAAGAGGGAGGTTAGTGCTCCAGCCATCACATCCACATTCTAGGCAGCAGGATGGTGGAAGGAATAAAGAAGAAAGGGGAGCAAAGGATGAGCACAAGCTGTCATATAACAAAGGTTCCTAGAAGCTGCTACATATCATTTTTGTTTATGCCTGATAGGCCAACACTTAGTCAAGTACATTAAATTAAGCTGGAATATAGAGCCTTTACTTCGGGCAGCCAGCTGTCATTATGGAAGAGGGGAAGAGAAGCTACTGGGACAAGTAAACATCATGGTCACACTGTTGCCATCAATCCCTCTCTGGCTTCATTTGGCCACCCCATAAATCTGTCCCTCTCTCATGGGCACATTTCTCCATCTGTTGATCCTGTTCTTCATGGCCCCTGTCACTTAGAGTTGATACATGTCAGAACTGCAAAGAAACTAAGTCATCCAGTCAGATATTTCCTGAAACCGCGGAAGAAATGAAGGTGCACGGAAGGACCCGACTTGTCTAAGGTCAGTCACGTCTCAGAATAGTTGCAGAATTGTATTAGATCAGGATAAAGTTTCATCTAAATTGAGCACCTAAGTGGTAAGGGAGCCAGAGAGAAATAAAACGCTCAAAGCCAGGGCAATTAACCAGAAACATCTTCTGGATGAAGTGAGGGTTGGAATGAGTTTGGGGACAGAGAAATTCATTTGGAAGGGAAGACAGTGTTTCCAGAAGGGAAATGGCCTGCATAAAGCCACAGAGTCGGGTTACAGCATTTTGCCAGGGGCTACAAGTTGGAACAAAATGGAGGGTATGTTGTCAGCTCTGATGAAAAATTAAACCCTGAATTGAGGAAGGGGATAGGGAGCACTGGCTGAATGGGGTTTGAACTGCACCTAAGAGCTTAGAATCAATAAAGAAGTATGTCCATCTCAGGCTTTTTAAGTTTAACGGAATCTGGTTCAGTACCATCTCTATCCATCTGTCTCTGTCTCTCCCCTTTCATTTCTGTGTCTGTACTCCCTGTGTCTGTGTCTTGTTTGTTTCCTTTCTCTAGCCTCTGGCAGCAGCTTCTATGCTTACAAAACGTTTCCTGTAATCCCCTTAACAACTGTTGATGGGTTTCCAACCCTGAACCCGCGAAGATCTCCAATCTCCAAGCCACCGAGGTCAGTTCTCCCTTGCTTTCCTTCTTGTGCTTTATGTAAACAGAGGCTAGGTTGTATTTTCTGTGGCCCGGACACCCAGGACAGTGACAGACACTGAAAAGGCTGCATAGTTGTCCTCCTCCTCTGTGATGGGGATTGGGAAACAGGCTCGCTCCACAGTGCCTGTGGACTAAGAGCCTTTCCTGCTCCCTAGAAATCCACCAGCTCTGAAATTTATGATGAATTCCCTGTCCCTACGCCTAGAGGTAGCCGCCAAGGAGACAGGTTAAAAGCCTATATTTATGGCAGGTGACACTTTCTGAACAAGATGTTGATTAAGGAGCATGTTGGGTTCTGACTGCTGCACAAACTCCAGGAGCTGAGCGGCTAGTGTGAAGACCAGGCATGGGGTAGGGCATCCCACCACCTGTCTGAGCCCAGAGGCCCTCAGGGACAGTGCAGGGCACGGAGACCTGGTAGCGCTGTGCTGAGGCTGACTCTCACTGGCGGATTGTTAAATGTTCGGGAATGTTACAAGCTGGTTGTGAAACTGTTGGTTGCTTGAAATTGGCTGTAGTAGGCATATTTACATCAAGGAAACGGGCAAACACTGTAACTCAGGGTTTGTGTTCCCCCCTCCTTCCTTGGAGAACTGGTTTACCAGCAGGTTACTGAGTTATCCTGATTTGGGGGCACTTTGTGGGGAGAGAGTGGCAGTAGCCTGAGATCCTTAT